CTGTAAATATGACTGTAAAAGTTGTTATAATTTCTCCGCAAAAAAGATCTCAAAGGAAGTTGGACAAAAACGCAATTTACACTAGAATATCTCCTTAAAAGCAACAGATTTTTATATTGTTTCGGCAATGAATTACGAACTGTACTATGAAGTTTCATCCAAAAGTACAAATTTTAATATAGATTTTCTTATTTCACAATTCGAAAACATTTACCAACGCATTGCTAGGTAACAGTTTGTTACCTAGCAGTTTCTTACCTAATTATTTAATATTTAAGTACGAACCTGCTGTATAATTTACATCTATATATACATATAATAGGGATTTCGCGATAGATAAGCCAGCCTAAGATGGCGTAATTCCTCTGCGTGAAGTACTGGAGGCTCCGGTTTTTCGAAACAAGCCGCAACACTGTTACTGCAAATTACTTAACCAAGTAATACGTGCTCGTGCAACTGCGTCGTCAAGAATTGAAACAAGAAAAGACGAGAGGCGTGACAGTAAGGCGCAACAGCAAATGTAATTGAAGAATAATTAAGCGGGACCAATTAACGTCTGCCATCCTCTCTTCTAGAGCGACTTGAGGAATGTCTTCAAAGATGAATCCCATTAAATTCGTTAGGCGTTGCACATGCAATTTACGCCCGCGAAGATATGAACGTCCTCGTCTTTAGGAGCAAATTAACTTACTCTGCTAAAAATTTATGCTTCCCGTGAAAGATGGTGTTGTAAATAGGAACTGGGGTAATTGGACGAATTCGCTGGCAAAATTGAGGGAAATAGTCGTCTCCAAAAAGAGTTATCATTGGCTAGGTTGCTTGCGGATTGTCACTATAGTTAACCAGTTATCTGTTGCAATCGCTTTGGAAACTGTGTAAGTTACTACAGTTATACTGTATGTTGTATACTGTTGTTCGTATCTCGTTTAAATACAACACTTTTATAAAATAACGATTATAATTTATATTAACATCAATGCACAGAATTTTCTGTAGCTTTTGTTGATTACTAGCATGTATATGATTGTAATAGGAGCATCTGTCTTGATGTACCAGTTATCAAAATTTGCGATACATTCAAAGTACAGTAATTTCTCTCTAATTCGCGCTCAGATTGCACACAAAAATGGACAATTTGGGAATAGGAGATACGATTTTTCGAGCTCTGCGGCTCGTTTTAATAGCTGTTGACAATCTCCGCTTCTTACTGTATTTTTCGATACCAATTTTCAAAACGTGTTCGATTTGAATGAGTGGCCAAACTTATGTTAAAAGCTACATCATAACCTACCTAATAATTCTAGAGATTGTCTTGTCTTTTTCCCAGATTGAAGGTAACCTAATATAAATTAGCTTCTGAGAGTTAGCATTAGTCGACGAAATGAAGTTTCTGAACCAAAGGATCATAATATATACTCGTTACCAGTGTTCGTGAGTTACCTCGCAAGTTACATCATTTTCCTGTGGAACTACATGAAGATGAGCAACGTTAACCCTAAAGATTTCTGTCTTCAGGCTAATTTTACTATGAAACAATATCGTTACCAAACAAGCTTGATTATTAAAGATCAAATTTAAAGACCTAACAGATAAGAAATGTTAACAATGTTCTGGATTAAAAAGAGTACTAAATAGCATTCATTATCATATTTCCATTCGTTAACACAGAGTAGACCAAAATTTGTAGTAACATCCGACGGATGAATAACTTTATTGTTAATTTGTCAATTCTTTTTGTTGCGGATAAGTATTGTAATCCGGTCTTGGGAGATGCAAAATAAAAATTGCTTACATTGAATGTAAGGAAGAAGAGCGAAATAAAAATGTATTTCTTTTGTTAATAACTTGAATAAGTTGGGACAGTATCTCTGAGTTCGTTAAATGCAGTCGTAACAAATTTAACAGAGAAGCAGC